ACGAGCCCGTTATCCGCGAGATTATGGATATGAATCCCTCCCTTTCCCTACATATATCCAAATACAAGTCATTACTAGGGATCGGAGGTATAGTTGTCCGAAAGTCTTTGGACAGGGAGTTGAAGAGAAAGTTTAAACAAAAGTATGAATTATTAAAAAAATTTTTAATTATATAATTTTTAAATAAATATTATAATAATTTATGACCACCAGGCTCATAATTATATACGAAACGGGACTCGTGTTATGGTATACCAGAGCTAATAAGATAATAATGGCGAATGAGAAACGGCTCAATTCTGGGGATAGTTCTCCCGCAAGTGATAAGATGGGTACCACTGGTGACAAGTTCAACTCAATCAAACTGATTGATATCAAAATATTTATTATAATTTATTTATCAAAAATGTTGCTGGCTTTTATTATATTGCGAATTGAAGTTTTCGTTTATCGGTGTTAAAAATTTGTTGAATAACGTGTTATGCTTAAGTAATTAGTTTAGAAATTCTGTTATTGTATTAATTAAGTTATTAATATTTAAAATTATATTGATGTATACATTAGAATTACTTCGTAATTTAGGATTTACTTTATAAATGTGGATCAACAAAAAATAAATAATTAAAATATTATCAGAAATAAATTAAGATTTACTTAATTATAAAGATAATCAACAATCAATCATATGTTTGAATCAAATTTAGTAAAATTTATATTTCTAAGTTTATATACATTTTTAATAAGTTAAATATAATTATTTTTATAATCTATAATAAAGTACAGTATATGAATTATTTTTTGGGCACCAGTTTAACCATACGACATCCCCCACCAGTGGCCACCTTCAGCTCCAAATTAGATCCCTTCATATCCTTAAACACCTCGTCTTTAAACAGGTCTTCCACTGTATATTCGGACACATCTTTTTCACCCGGGATTAGAGTCGATATTTTCTCAGACATCTATCAATATATCAATTCAATTCATTTTAATTAAATAATGAGAAGAGAGAGAGAGAGAGACTTACAAAATAACGGTCGCCAATATGACTATTATCCATATAAACGACAGCATACGACCACTTGTTGTCCACTTTGGGCTCTACCTGTTTGACCCAGACCTGTTTATTCTTTTTGTCATCCTGAATTAAAAGCAGATATTACAAAAATATAAATTTTTATGCAGTCCTACCTGGATCATTCCAATGTCCGGGTCCTATTAAATTTGGAAAAATAAAATAATATTTAATAAATATAGTTATTTTGATGATAATGTAAATACCGTTATATTTAATGAATTCCTCGTTGTTATCGCCATAGAATTGGATGATAGATGAGATTGAGGTCCAACTGTCCCCTACATCGCCGTGATTTCTATACACGTGACACGTGTTGGCAATCGATGTATAATTGGGTTTAATTTTTCCGTGTAACTGATATAATGGCCACTCATACAAAACTAAGAAGTACATTTGGTTCATAAGTAATTAATATTATTTATATTACTATTTAATATTAGTGATACTTCTGTGTAATTAAAAATAAAATTATTGTTAACATAAAATAAGTACACCTGCATATCTGAACAAGTGTATATCTTAATGTATTATCGAAATTATGTAAATAGTGTTCAGTTTTTATTTTGTCTCAACAATTATATCTTTATTGTAATTGATATTTGCACATTATGTTCTCATATACGTAACTTATGTAACATAAGTCTACATTATTATTTTGGGCATTTTGTCACATAATTAAACATAAAATTCACAAGCACAAAAACTGAAAACAAATATTTAAATGTCTAAAGTTAATAATACCACACATGTATTAAAATAATTCAATTAATTTTATTAATAACTTATAAGTAAATTGTAGATTTGTAAACAAGTTTAATGCGTTTATTTGGGCACGAGTTTAACCATACGACATGCGCCACCAGTTTTAACTAATAGCTCCAGAGTATCGGATGCCTTAAGAGTACCAAGTACATCTTTGCCTTCATCTTGGAACAGGTCGTGCACCACGTATTCAGTGGTAGGTTTAGCCTCAGGGATCAAAGTCGACACCTTTTGTGACATCTACTCATAAATAATAAAATA